ATGCTGCTTGGCCTGCTGTGTTCATCCAGCTCTGCACCTTGTTGTCTCAGATTCTCCAGCATCTGCAGTTCCTACTATCTCTACATTTTTTGAAGATTTTGTTTAGTTTTAGATGTTGAATTTAAGTACACCTGCCAATCCAGAACTTCCATGAACATTCATATTTCAAAATTTTGCTAGCCAATAAATGAAGAGAAGTGTAGCTTGGTAATCTTTTAATATGTTGAATCTTAATTGAAGCACAATAATTCCTGCTGACAGCATTATTTTAAGTTTAAAATTTGATTGCTTTCATAGCTTTAGCCCCTACACATTTTGAAGTAGTTGAATAACATTTAAGTTGTAAATATTTTGTCAAATATTTGGATAAATCTAAAATGATTAGAAGCTTTGTACAAGACAAATATTCCTTCTGTCCCCTATTATATCAACTAACTTTGTAAGCTCTTTTTACAGGATGGAGAAGTGGATGCTGAGGAACTGCAGCGATGTTTAACACAGTCTGGGATACATGGTACCTACAAACGTAAGCGATTCTTTGTGATCTCAAAAATAGAGCATTGAGTATGTGATTAGGACTGCATAAATGCACTTGTTTGAATGTACTCTTCTGGCTATTTTTGAAAACTCATTTAGCAATTTTGCCTGTTTCACAATGTTAAAACGAGTCACTAATTTGACTGGCTAGGTCTTAACTACTTATTTGCAATTCCATCCAATCACAATTTTTGTTCTAAAAGTTACATCTCCAAATTTAAGGCCAAATAAGGTCTAATTTTCATTTATATTACAGAAAAGGTAGGCTAGGTTAACCTATGACAATGGGTAAGCATAATTTAGTTATAATTTGAAATAAAATTATGTACTTATTTGTATGAGAATTAAAACCAATTTTCAAGATTTCAGTAACTTTGTCTTTAGCAAATTAACTATGGAAACGAACTAACCAGTGGGATTGCTTGCTATTTCATTGGTCCTATTGGAAGTTCTTGATTAAATGCTGCTGTTGTGCCTGTTTTTTTGTTTCAACGTTTTGATTTGGATGCCCTGAAGTTTTGTAAAGCACTATATCCTGTTTTTAATAACTAAGAACAATTCGATCTTGGCCAAGTTTACTTGTGAGATGCATGTATTTATGCTTTTACTGCACTTACATTCACTTCATATGCCTAATAATTATGTCTTGTGTTCAGCTTTTAGTTTGGAGACCTGCAGAATCATGATCGCAATGCTGGATGTATCCTAATAACTGTTCATATGATGATGCAACATTTGGAATATTTATCAGCAGCAACCTGTGTAATCTATATCTTATAAATGGTGATGGTTTCTGTATTATTTAAAATGTGGAAAATTTAATTTGTGAAACTGAGTATAATTAGCATGTAAGAAACAAAACACTGGATTCTGGAAATCTGAAATGCAATTGAAACTTCTCAAAACTTGGGTCAGGCACCAACTGTGAAGACAGCAACAAGTGTTTGAGATTGATGACTCTTCAATAGAGGAGATTGTCACTTGAAATGTAAATTCTGTTTCTCTGTGTGCAAGGATGCTGTTAGACAAGATGCGCATTCCAGCATTTTGTTACTTTTCATTGAGATTGAGTAAATGATTTAAGGCCTATTTCTTCTCCATTTCAATTCCTCTGAAGCCAGATTTCCCCCTTAACATTATCTCAATAGAATTTTTTTTTAGAATAAACACAAGTTACAGGTCTATGCTACTGGACTGGTAATCCAGAAGCCTGGACTAAATAGTTCAAATTTCACCATGGCAACTAGGAATATAATCAACCATATAGTTTTATTCCAAAATATAGGATCAGTACCTGTGACTTTTGAAATTACTGTTTTGTCATCAAAAAACAAACTTCTTTTAGAATCCAGCTGTACAGACACCAGACGTTGACATAAGCATAAAATTTGTGGTATTAAAAAACTTATTCAGTCCACTTAATCCTGCTACATCCTCCTTGCTAGCATCTGTGGACAAACTAATCAAATAACAGCTGTAAACATTCATTCCTATAGAATCCTCCCGCCTTGGCCAATGTCCCAGACTATACTATCACTATTCCTGGATATGTGCTGTAACACCAGCAGAAGAGACCTAGCAAAAGTGGCAGTACTGTGGTATATAGTCAGAAATGGATCATTAACATTATTGCTCGGGACCTCATGCATGGGATGAGATCAAGTCAAGCATGGGCCAGGGCAAATGCTACCTCATTACTATCTACTGCCCTCCCTCACCTGAAGAATCAGTACTCCTCCATGTTGAACACTGCTTAGTCAAAGGACTAGCAAAGGTGCAGATCCGTTGTGACTTCAACGTCCATCACCCAAGAGTGGCTGAGCAGCACCCCAACTACTAACTCAGTCCCAAAGAATGTAACTACCATAGTGCCGTGCTGTCCATGTGAGCTGCTTTTCGATTACAACACCTGGATACCCTCTTTTAGGTTGTGCGGCAGTACCACTGTGCAAAATGGGATAGACTTAGAACAGATCTAGTGGCTCTAAACTGGCTGTATCTATACTGTGCTGTGGGCCACTGGCAAGAGCAGAATTGTTTACTACCAAAATTTGTACAGTTTTTTTTTTTTTTTTTTTTTTTTTTTTGGTGTAGTATTTCTCTGTACCATTGCTGCCATCATGCCAGGGAGTTCACTGTCTGGTGCAGTGAGAAGTGAGGGATAGCCTGTCAGGAACAGCACCAGCCATACCAAAATATGACCCTGGTGGTTACAACAAGGCACTACACACGTGCTAAACAGTGAAAGCAGCTTACTAAAGGCAGAGCTGAACAATCCCGTAACCAACAGACCAGATCAGATCAGATCAAAGTTCTGCATTCCCACCCTATCTAAGCATGAGCAGCGCTGAACAATTAAATGATTAACTGGAGGAGGAGACTCCATGAGCACCCTCACTCTCCATGATATCCGAGCCCAGCACATCCATGCAAAAGGCACTACTGTCATCAGCCAAAAGTGCTAAGTGGAAGATCCCCCTTGGCTCCCTCCTGAGGATTCCAACATTGTAGATGCCAGTCGTCAGCAACTTAATTTACTCTGCATTATATCAAGAAATGACTGAACACACTGGAGACAGCAAAAACTGTGGTTGCATAAATACACCTCCCGTTATACTGAGGACTTGCTCCAGACTAGGTGACCTTATCCAAATTGCTCCAGGAGTGTCACCTGAGCTAGGAATCCAGAGGTCCAGCCAAATGCTGTGCGGACATGGGATCAAAGCTTATCACTGCAGCCGGTGGAATTTAAGGTTTTTTTTAAAAGCTATCTAGAATTGTAAAGTTAGTGTAACCACAAAACTATAATTATTGGACAAATCTGTTTGCTTTACTTTTGTCCTCAAGGGAAGGAAGTCTGCCATGTTTAACTGGGCCGGCCTGCATGTGAGTTCAGACCCCACACAGTGTTGATCGGCTCTTAACTGCTCTCTGAATTGGCCCATCAAGCTACTCAGTTGAAGTGTAGCTGGGGATAGACAGTGCCTGTGAAACAAAGCTGGGGGGTGGTGGAATGCTGCAGCAATGGCACCTGAACATTAGTGTTGAAAATTGCTCAAGTCTACTTAAGTTCACAGGAAGCAGGGTAAATCCAGTCTGGCTAATTGCTGCCATATTAATCTCATGTCAATCATTGGCAAGGTGATAAAAGGTGTTGACAGTGATACCAAAGGCCAGTTGCTTACCATTGCTCAGCTTGGCTTTTGCCAGGATAACCTTGAATCCAGACCTCGTTACAGCCTTAGTCCAAACAGGAGCAAAAGAGCTAGCTTCCAGAGATAAGGCGTGTGTCTGTGCTTGAAAGCATGCAACTTCTAATTGAATGATGCATTAAGGAGCCCTATCGATATTGAAGCCATTAGAAATCAGGAAGACTATCCACTGAAGTGTTTACTACCATGGAGAAAAATGGTTGTGGCTTTTAGATGCCAATTTCCTAAGCCACAGCATATTACTGCATGCATTCCTCAGGGCAATGTCCTAGGTTCAGTCATTTATCTGAATAAAGGTTATCATTTTTTTTAACTTTTTTTTTATTTTTGGACTATTGACTAAAGGAAGATACTGTTTCAAATCATGGGACTACGGAAGCTGATGTTGCAGTTTTAAAAAATGAGTTGCCTGAACACACTGTTTTGGAACAATGTTGCCTAATTCAAGCATTGGAGGGGACTGATGGACCACTTGGCTTTGTGAGTGTGTATTTGGGGCACTTTCACCTTTTGATTTGGTTTTTTCATCCAAGACCAGAGTATTTGGCTTGGTAACTTCTTACAATTTCATAGACAACTTCTTGATTAGTTTCTTGTTGAATGGTTCCAGCTTTGTGTTTGGACAATTCAGTAGAAACATCCTTGCCTTTGAGTAGAAAAGTAAAAGAAAATTTTGGCTGCAGCTTCTCTCTGTCTGCGTGGCTGTCATGAGCTCTCTCATGCTCTGTGTGTGTGCGCGTGTGTGTGTGTTTTGTCTGCCTGAAAAGGCAAATCTTCAATCAATGAATGAAAGGATGAGAATCTCATACTCAACGAAGTCAGAAGGGAGCTATAGGAAAACAACTGATTACCTGTAAGTTGGATTGGTGCCAGAACTGTAGTTTACTAGCTTTTTCTTTTTGTTCCTTACCCACCTGTAATATTTCTATTTTGTCTGTTTGTACATGTATGGGATTTTTTTTTTTGCTAGAATTCTAAGTTAGTAACTCATATCTCCTTCCATTGTTTAGACGTTGCAATAAATAGATTTTTTAAAAAATATACTCCTGCTGCACATGCTGTTCTAATCTGAATTACGTCAGTTAATGAAAATTGGGAAATTTTGGTAGTTCAGTAAAATTCTCTCATTTGTGACTACTGTTCAAATAGTGGGGCTTGATTTCTGTCAGACTAACTCAATGAGTCATGACAACAGTCTTACAAAAACATTAATGCAGTTTTTGGTGAAATATTTCTAAATAGTGGTTAATTCTGGGTAAAACTTAGAACTGAAGCATCTACTGTATGCAGACAATCAGCAAAAAACATGACCCTTGACTGGAGCATTTCAGAGAGATATGACTGGAAAGATGGGCTTTAATGAATTTAAAGAGCTATGGGCAGCACTGAATGGATGGAAACAGAACTTCATGATGTATGATCAGGATAGAAGTGGGACAGTAGAACCGCTTGAGCTTGGCCAGGCTATTACATCAATGGGTAAGTAGTGAAATTCATCTTGTACTCCTTTGTTTTTAAGGTGCTGGAAGTTTTTTTTTTGTTTTTTTTTTTTTGAAGCTAATATATTATGAAAGTATTGGATGGTATATCATGTAACTTCCTGCTTGCATTTATAACTTTAAATTACTATGTAAGTCTAGAATAACTAGCTGTTACGGTGGTAAAAAGAAGTTTATCCTAAAACAGATTGTAAAGTCAGTTGATTTTGATGAGAATAGGTTTTTTCTAAACAAGTTAAGTTTTTCTTTTGAAGTATATTTACGAATCTTAAACTATTTTAACTTTAAGTTAGAAACTTGAAGAAAAGAAGGGATTGAGGGAATTGAAAAAATTGAATTCACTTGAAATGCAGAAACCATTATACAAAGTATGTTTGGATTAAAGCTTTAATTCGAGAACTTCCTTACCAAAGTATTGGTAAACATGACACGTAGCAACTTATTTTGTCTTTTGATTGTAAGGACCAGAAGCAGTTATTGGTTATGCAAGGTGATCTCCAGTTGTTCTGCTTTTAGAATAGAAAGTATTTATCTAGGGCATTTCATTCTTCAATTTTGGTAGACAGGAATTAAACGTTTAAAAAATATTGAATAATTCTTTGTTGAAGTTCTCTTAATAGTGGCTTAAAAATGAGCCAGAGGTCTCTTTTTATTAAAAATAAATACAGGATGACACTTTCAAGAAAGCTGTACAATATAACTTTTTAAACTGAAATCTTTTAGGAGTGTTACCACTCGATAATGCACTGCAACCATCTCTAGGTTGGGAAAGCTGTTGAGCATATACTGGAAAAGATGTTACATCTTGTTAGTGCTTCATTATAGCAATGCAATTGATTTTTGCTGGTTGTTCATGGAGTAGCAAAAATCGCAGCTGAAAAGAAAGCATCACTCATTGGTTACGAAAGAAAAAGGTGTTGGTGACATCCTCCAGTTTAATAAGTTCTACAAAAGTTAGAGTAAAAGTGGTACATACAAATGTTGCTTTTCACCTGGAACGCTGCAAGTGGTAATCCCAATAGGTAACAGTTTTCAACAATGAACTTGTGTTCTACACCATCATGTATTTCTGTATTATTCACTCCCACAAATAGCTTCCTGAAAAAATGTTAACTGCCAAGTATTCAGTAATAATTTCTCATCTTAAGTTTTTAAGGTCTAAGCAAAAAGTAAATTTCTGAACATCAAAAGATATTATCTTATTTCACTATGTTAGTTATTGCTAAATTGAAGTCTTCAGTTTCCCCAAGTCTGACTGTTAATTAAACTCCGAGTGATACGTCCACTTTCCCATGATGCGTTAGTACATTTTTAGAGGCTGAAATGCTAAGCATTTATCTTTTAAGCTACTAGTAATTGTCTGTCTGGTACCTGAATGGACACTATTTGAAGAAAAGCTGGAGGGCACATTTCAAAATCTTTATTCAAGTAATGTGTAAGAGGAAAATGTCTGACTATACTATACTCACTGAAGTCTTTTCTTTCTTGTCCAATAAACTTTAGAAAATATCTTTCTAATAATTTGATTCTTAACACTTAAATAAAAACCTTGAATTAATCATTGCTTTTGAAGGAAACTTGGAAGGCAGTGAAGGAACCACCTGCCACCTACCTCCTTTGAAGAAAGAAAAGGAATGTCTAAAATGGAGGGTTAAATACAATGATATAGAAAAAAGATAAGGAAGAAGTACAAGATTTGAGCATATAGCTTTAACAAGAAGGCTTCAACAATAAAGCAAGTAATTAGAAGACAGACTGGGAGGAGATGGTAGTGGAAAATATGAATCTTGGGGACAGAATATGGGAAGGGAGCTGCAGAAGGCTTCAAGCATTATTTTCTCCAGAGTGCCTACCAAAAAATGGAGCTTGGAGTGCTCTGGTGCTGCCTTTCCCACCGCAACACTCCATACTACCTACTTTTTGTTTCCACATGAACGGAAAGAAGAAAAGGCATAGAAACTGGAGAGAAAGGAGAGTTGGGGGAAAGAGAAACCAAAATAGTAAAGGCAGAAAAGAAATGGTGAGATGGAAGAGGATGTCCAGAAACCGTGACCCAAAGAGAGCAAAGTAAGGGAGAGACCACATTTTCTGACTTAACATCTGTCCCACCACTGGTGATTGACTAGAAACATTAAAATCTGACTTCTGGCTGCATTTCACTAAAAATCTGCTTTGGTATTCAAGGTTATCACTGGCTGAGGAGAATAACCATGCAAGAGCCAAATCATGTTGTAAGCGTGCACAGTTGAGTGTAAAGTTAATTAAACTGCTCCACTTAAGCAATATCACGTTTTTGTCTGTACTTTAAAATTCATTTTTTAAAAATTGGTTAATTTTGTAAAATTTGGAGTACTAACTAAATTCGTCTAAGGTTTCACGTATTGTTACACTTGAGTAACGTTTTCTGAATTTTTCTCTGGGCCAGGTCCATGTTACAAGAGTCTACAGTAGTTTATTTGACACAGCTTATGTTTTAGATCTTTGACAAAATCTGTAATGTTCTATTTCTGATACTGATGTTCAGATAAATGTATAGCTATTCTCACATAGCTTATCTTTCTGTTTGGAAGTGCGTTTGTTGAGAAAATTTGAAGTGGTTGACTTTGCAAATTGTATAAATATTCATATGTCATACTGCTGCTTTGGAGCTTATGGCAGTGCCTGCTCTGTTGTGTCACTTGGGATTATCCAATTTGTAACTTGTTAATGAGAGTGCATCAGTTTTTCAATACTAAAGCTGGAATTTTGCCAGAAATATTCTCTCTGGCTGATCAAGATTCCAAATTATAAAATGAGTATTAGTAATGTAAATTCAATCATGTGCTGGTATTTTTGCTATAGCGGATGTTTCATTAATGCGAATTGGCTTTAACACTATCGATGAATAGTGGACGCTGTGCAAATCATAGAATCCCTACAATGTGGAAACAGGCCTTTCGGCCCAACAAGTCCACACCAACCCTTAGAGCATCCCACCCAGATCTGCCCCCTTTATAACCCATCTAATCTACACATCCCTGAACACTGCGGGCAATTTAGCATGGCCAATCCACCTGCACATCTTTGGATTGTGGGAGGAAACTGGAGCACCTGGAGGAAATCCATGCAGACATGGGAAGAATGTGCAGACTCCACATACAGTTGCTTGAAGGTGGAATTGAACCCGGGTTCCTGGCACTGAGGCAGCAGTGCTAACCACTGAGGACATAATGATTTTCAATGGCTATTTTCTATAGTGTGATGTCATACAATGCAACTATCACGTTCTAGGAGAAATACCTGTGAACCTAAAACATTAATTACAGAAAAATTAACTATCAGGTCCTGACCAGTATTTTTTTGGGACACTTTTTTGAGTTTTCAGTTACTGCTGCTCTTTATTAAAACTGTTAATCAGAGTAATTATAAATTTATTAATCCTGAACAATTGAAATAATCTCAAGTATACATAAAATTTTAAATTATTAGATCACTTGTGTTTGCACTTCCTCATTTATTTGCCTCCCACATTTTGTTACTCTCTCCAATTCGTGCAATTACATTTCCACCTTCTGTATCTTACTGAAAGTTTTCACTGGCCTTCAGGTTTCCTCAATGACTTCCATTTTGAACATCTAATTTCTGGGTAGACGTGATCCATTGCAGGGGTTAATTTATGAAAAGCCAAGTATGTGCCATGGAGAATATTTTGTGTGCAAACCACATTTGTACACAGGAAGAACAGTGTCATGTAATAACCTTTTTCTAATTAGCATTTTTTTTGTACGGTTGTTTCTGCAATACCTGTCATCGACTATGGATTTTAGCATCATGGTTCATAAGCCAAAATCTCAAACCAATCTCAGTGACCCACTGAGCCTTGAATTACTACTTGTTTAAGGATGTAACTTAGGATCAGTACGTTTTTTTGCCTTCTATCTTCCTTATAGTATGACTTCTAAAAAATAAAACTAAATGAACTATTACCTAAGAATATTTTGTAGCCACTTGTTTCAAAATGTTATTTTGTACATCCCCAGGGTACCGACTGAGTGCTCAAGCTATAAATGGTATTATAAAACGTTACTGTAAAGATGGCAAGACCTACTTTGATGACTACGTTGCCTGCTGTGTAAAATTAAGGGCAGTTACAGGTATGCGTTATCTATCTTAAATACCTCACTCACTGTTTTATTGGATTTATTACATCCTGAAGAATTTAGTTCAGAATTACTTCTTTATATGTTAAGTAGCTGCGTAAATTTCTTTTGGGGTAGAATAAGTTAATTTTTTTTATTTACCTAGGTGATATATGATGCAGATAATTATCCATTAAATGGGGTTGAATTTTTTTTTTCCCCTGTGGAGATTTTAATCATAGTCTTGAATGACTATATGGGCTATACCATTTTCAGTTTGTAAGATACTCCAAACTTAGAGCACTGTGTCTTTAAAGTATGACTTTTTTTATGATTAACAGCCATAATCATAATTGCGCTCCATTCTTTTAAATGATTCTTTTCTGATTTCAGTAGATCTTTCCTTTTTCTATCTTCTAGCCAATAATCTTGTTTGTCTTGTTCTTTCATGTAACTGAGTTTCCCAAAAAGTTTAAGATTGCTATCCTGCCTATTATTATAACAGATGCCTCCTGGTCTGACCCATGGATGTTTTTACAAATTCCTTCATGGGATGTGCGAGACTGCATTTATTGTCCTGGAGGAGCTGGTGCTTGGGATCAGTGTTGACTGCAAACTAAGTAGAAATAGCCACAAAAATACTTTCACTAGAATAACAAGTCTGAGGCTAAGCGTTCTGAGTAACTCAACATTTTTTTTTAAAATCATTCAAGGGCACGAGTTTGCTGCCTTTACCAGCATTTATTGCTCTGGCCTTCTTCGAACCGCTGCTGCCCTTGGTGTGTAGGGACACCCACAATATAGTTAGAAAAGGAGTGCCAGGATTTTGACCCAGCAATGTTGAAGGAACGGTGATAGAGTTCCAAGTCAGTCTGCCATTTGGCTTGGAGGGATACTTGCAGGTTGTGGTGTTCCCATGCACCTGCTACCTTTTTGCCCTTCTAGAGGGTTTGGAAGATGTGGTTAGAAGAGCCTTGGTGAATTGCTGCAGTGTGTCTAGCAGATGGTACAGATTATCACTACGTTGGTAATCAAAGGAGTGAATGATGGTAGATGAGGTGCCAAACCAAGCAATTTTTTTTTCCCCTAGATGTTAAGCTTTTTGAATATTGTTAGAATTGTACTTAGCAAGAAAAGTGAAGGGTAGCCCATCAAACTCCTGGCTTGTGTCTTGTATATGCGTTCCTGCCAATCCTGGTAACCCTTCACTGTCTTGTTTAATAAGAATCTACCGATCTCCTCCTCAAACATTTCAAAGACTCTGCTTCCACAACGTTCTTAAAAAGAGAGTACGAAGACACTTGATTTTGAGAAGGAAAAAATGGCTTTTCTGTTTTAAATGGGTAGCGCTTGATTTTTAAACTGTTGACTGCTAGTCCTATAATCTCCACAAGAGGAAGCATCCTCTCTTGACTGCCCTGTAAAGACTCGTCAGGATCTTTTCAAAATTTCGATCAAGTCATCTCTTGCTTTTGTAAATTCCAATGGATACAAACCTATCCTGTCTAGTCCTCCGAAGACCTCTCGCTCCATTTCTCTAAATTCCTTCCAATGCATTAACATCCATCCGTAAGAGAGTTGGCCAACACTGCACAGTACTTCAAATAAAGTTCCACCAAGGCCCTGTATAGCTCAGGCATAACGTCCCCGCTTTTGTATTTGGTTCCCCTTGCGATAAGTAACTTCCTAATTACTTGCTATATATCTCCATGCAAAACTATCATGTATATTTTATTCCTTCACTGAACCAGGAAAAAGATTTGGTGCTGCACACCTTTTTTCCATTTTTTTTATTATATTTGGAATAGTGACTTGAACTCTTTATTCACAACTTTGATTTTTTTTGTTGCAGATGCTTTCAGACGAAGAGACAGTCTGCAGCAAGGATATGTGAACTTTGCTTATGATGATGTAAGTTCCTAAATTGCATGATATGTTAGCTTTGAAATTGTTTGTTTGCTCTGAAAGTCTGCAGGGACAACAGCATCAATCACTGACCCTGATGGACACAATGGTAGAAATTGTTTTTAATTTTGAGAATTTCACTAGTGATGTTAGAAGGTTGATATTAGATTTCATTTTTTTAAGAGTTCTAAGGTAATTTTCTTTTAGTTATTTGTTACAGTCTTAATAAATAACAAGTGATTAACAGTTTTCTTGCATTTGTCTAATCATTTGATAAAACTGCTACGAATATGAAATGTGACACACTAATCCAAAAGGCTAGTTATGTTTGTTTGAATCACCCTCTTGAAACATTTTGACTGGATGTAGATGGATTTAACTTGCAAGTTTGTTCATTTTGATATTGTTGTTTATCATGTTCAGAAATTGCAATGTATATTAACCTTTTCATTCTGTTCCACTTTTCTTCAAGTTTATCCAATGCACCATGTCCATTTGAGTGCAACGTTGCATCCATTATGCAAACACTGGCCGCTGATGACCGACCGACAACCAGTGATTTATATTGCTTTGAGGATAAATCGAACTGCTCAAATTGCATACATGTCTAGTCGTTTTGTATATTTTCTTTTTTTATTGTGTAAAATAAAAAAGGAAATTCAATTTTATGATGTGTACACAATTTGTTATGCTATCACTTGCCAAATTTTTTATTTCTTTCATAGCTTGCAAAATATTAATTTACAGGTAAATGGCTTTGCTGCAGTTGTGCCTCTTGGAATTTTGTGTAGTTTAATACAAATGTCTAGGTTTTTAGCCTATTGTAACGTATGATGTAACAACGTTAATATAAATAATCACATTTTTGTGAGCCAAACATCACTTTGCATTTGAATAGCATTTCCATTTGCAGTTTTTTAAAAGATTATATTTTTTTCATGTTTTCATACTGCTTTTTTCACCATGTAATAAAAATCTTTTACTTTCTGGTTAATGCTGGATATACAATTGTCAATGGAATAAAATAAAAACTAGTGACAAGTTTTTTTTAGATGAGGCGTCTTTGTGAGAAAGGAGAAATTACTGTCTTACTATCTATCTGTATTGGGCACAATGTTTGTTTATTGACATTCTCTTTTTTAAAAAAAAATTCCTCCTTGCCTATCTTCTCGCTGTTTTTAAATTTAAAGGCTTGTAGGCCTTCATGCACTTTGTCTTTTTATGTTGTATGACTAAACTCTCCTACTGTCATAAGCAGACTTCATAGTGTGTATTTTTCATCTAAGAGGGTTGCAGTTTCAGACTGTAAGGTGTTCCATTTTCTTCTGTGCAAATTAGCATTGCACTCTGTATCCTGAGTCATCCTGTATGTTCGTTATGTGTCCATGTGACTAGTCATCCAACTGAGGAGGGAGATCTGTGTATCCAGGATATCTGGTGTTTTATATCTGTTTAAGTTTCTTCATTATTATATATATGCAGGGCCTTATTCCAGACTTTGCTTAGTTCAGTTTCCTCCATCCTTTTCCTTAAGTATTCCTTCATTATACAAGAAGTAGTAAATTTTAGAATGTCATTGTAATGTTTCAAAGTTTTTAAATGGCTGTTTCCACTAAGCATGGCAAGATAAAGTGCTGGAATCTCTCTAAATTTCACATTGAGTTTGTATTATGGTTGCTGCGATTAGAAAGATTGGGGAATTCCAGCTGGTGGAGGTTTACTCTCTTGGCTGCAGATTTTTTTTTGAACTTCCAAACTATCTTTTTGCTGGGATCAAGTGTTTAAAATACATACAAATTTTTGGCTTCTTCAGAATGATTGCTTATGTTAACTACTAACATTAAATTTACTGTGCTGGTAATCATACATTCAAACTTTCCAGATGGTGTCCTTTTTTGATCACTTTAGCTGGAACTTCTTTAAAACAAGGATGGCCTTCCTTCATTTAAAAATCACTTCTTTAACAGTACTTTGAAATACTATGAAACTCGGCTGTGAACAGGAATGTATAGCTAAATAATGTAGACTGCCACAGGTTTGATTTTTTTTTTTTGGTTTTTAGTCTGCTGAATTATTTTATTGTAATTGAGGCAACAGCAGCTGTCTTTTGGTCCAGGGCTAAAATTCATTTGAGCAGAATTCAATGTTACTATGTTAATTTGCACTCTAAATAAGTGCCCTAGCAAAAATGGATACGTGTTGATTCAATCTAATTACTAGTCAACACATTTTCATGCTTTACAGAAATTGTAGCATTTTTGATTTTTAGTCACTGTTGCAGTGCAAGATACTTGGCAGCCAATTTGTGCATCGCCAGCTTCCAGAACCGTTCATATGACTCAATAATTTGCTTCAGTGGTGTTGATTTGAGAGATGAGTATTAACCATTGTGGGTATCTCACCTGCACCTCTTGGATAAAATATTTGTGCATCCACCTGAGGAAGATGATGATGATTAACATCTCGTTCAACTGACAACACAAGGTAGTGCAGCACTCCTTTAAGACAGCACTGGTGAATCAGCCTAGATTTCTGTGCAAATCTCTGCAGTGGGATTTGAATGAAACCTTCTGATCCAAACAAGACTATTACTTGGTGAATGACAGCTGACATGTTAATGAAAAGGGGAGAAACTGGCACAAACACAACCATAACAAACTTTGTATCACAAACAATCCAAGGTAGTAGGAATTTTTCAAGTTTCATCAAAAATGGTGGTCTAATCCTGTTCGGTAGTAGCTGAAAAAGTTTGGGGATCTATATTGGTATGAAATGCCTACTGGCTTCCATCATATTTTTACAACTAATCTCTTCAATGTCTTGTGGATGTGAAGTAAATTATTCAAGTGCAGGTTTTTGGGAAAAAGTTGATGCAGGGAATAATTTCATTTTATTGCATCAGTCGCAGCGTGTGATTTTAGAAGACCTAAATTGGAATTGACAGGATATTTGCATAGCAAAGGCAGGAAAGATGTCCGATTTAAAACTGCATTTGACCCATTCTGAAGGGGGGATTTCAATTCATTTTGACCATGGACAGATTTACAGTTTACACTTACAGGTTACAAGGTCAATTCTCTGGTGACTCATGTCACCAGCCGTTGGCTTATGGATCTTTTAATGAGTGGGGTTTATGGTTATGAGGAATTACTCTGAGCAGCAACCCAAAGAACTCTTGAATCCCTGACTGTAGCTGATTAAAGTTTCTGTTGTACCCTCCATGGTAAGTGTTTTAAATCACTGAGAATGTTGTGTGGGTTTTTGATGAACCATTTTCCAGGATTTTCTTTTGAATGGAGCTTGTGGGGGGTTATATAGGTTATCTTTTTTAATTGCTAGGAAGTGTAACCTGACGTACTCTAGTTTTCCATTCAAAGTAAAGTTCTGTCTCAAGAAAATTAATACTTTAAACAGTAGAGTGTAATTACATGTAACGGATTTTGTAATCCAGGCACTCTTCAAAAGTGACTGCCATATCATCGAACATAGTTGGTCAACATTCTTAAATATTCTAAATAGATCAATCCAGAAAAGTTCAATATTTCAGCATTTGTTTCTAAGCAACGTAGATGTAATCCTAAAAACGGCTTTCATAACGTGACTATTGACTACAGATGAGCCATACATGGTATGCAAAATTTAATTTTACGAAAATGCATTTTGACGTTGAGTAGAAAACTTTCAGTCACAATAGCTATATTCCTTGCCTTATTCTGAAAACTCAGGTAGAAGTTACAAGGGCAATGTCACTTGCTAAGAATTTGCATGTCATTGTAATTACTATTTATGTTACAGCAGTTTTCCATACAACAAAGACTTGCTCTGATCCAGCTTGAGATTCCCTACAGTGAATTTCTGATATCTGTAAACAACACAGAAATAGCAAGGCTTTTCAAGAAACCCTATGTCTAAACCAGAAAATTATAAATCAGGAGACATATACAGAAAACAGAACAAGGATTGAAAAAGACGTGGGATTAGGAATAAAATATAAATAATCTCCCTCAACACTTAACTTCTAAAGGATTGATATTCCATCTTGAGTTTTGGGGGCAGAGAGGTTGATAGTGACGTTTATCTTCATTAAAAGTTTCTCATCTACATATGCATTTTTTTAAAATTTGTGCTTTTAGTGAGGTTCAGAATACATCTAGTGGAACAGCAGGGTCTAATTGATAGTAACCATAAGATGTAGAAACAAAAGCAGGCCATTCAATTCATTGAATCATAGAGCAGACTCCATGAGATTGTTTCATCTGATGATTTTTAACTCTTCCCTCCTGTCTTCCTGCCCCTCCTCCAAGCTTAGAGTGCTCATTAACAAAGGAATCAATCTATCTCAGCTTGACTATAATCAATGATTCAGCTCTATGGTAAAGAATTTCACAAATTCACTACTAAAAGAGAAGTTCCTCCTCATCTTTGCCTTAAAAAAGGTGTCCCCAAATTGTAAGATTATGCCTTCTAGTCCTAGACTTTTTTTTTTGCTCCTTACCAGATTTAGAATCCTTAGAATCTTGTTTGTTTTAATATGGCCACCTCATTCTTGACTCCAATGAGTGCAGGTCCAACCTACACAACATTCCTTCATAAGCTAGACCCTCCAATTCTGGGATCAGCCTAGTGAACAGCCTGCAATGCCAGTACATCTTACTTTAAAATAAGGGGCCCAAAACTGTTTACAGTATTCTAGCTGTGGTCTGTCTCATGCCTGGTGTAATTTTAACAAGACTACCCTACTTTTATACTGCATGCCCTTTGAAATAGAGGCCAAGACTCCATTTGCCCTACCTATTACCTGCTGAATTTGTATGCTAGCTTTTTGTGATCTATACACAAGGACTCCCAAATCCCTCTGCTGTAGTTTTTTTACATCTTTCTCCATTTAAATAGTTCTGTATTCTTGCTGCCAAAGTGAAGAACCTTACATTTACCCACATAATATTCCATCTGCCAAGTTTTTGCCCATTTGCTTAACCTGTCTATCAAAGATGGTTGAACAAGGTGGGAGCGGTTTTCTGGAAACTTGGCACTAATATCCTTTGCTGGCATTATTTGAATCTTCTATAGGTTCTTTGCATTCTCTGATTTGGCTTTACCAGGCTATGATTCTATTTTCTACTTGACTGCAGCAGAACGTAGAGAGATTGTCATTCCAGTCTTTAATTGCCATTGAGTAAGTGGATAGCCACCTTTCTTGAATTGTGGCATTGCTTGTGGTTTAGGGGTAGCGGTACTGTTAGGAATGATTTTACAGGTTTCTGATCCAAAGGCAACCAAGGAATGATGATATGATGGAATTCTAAATAAGGATGACTTTTGGCTTTCGGGTGAACTTTAGTTTTTGGTGTTTTTAATTTGGATGTGGAAAATATAATACGGTGCAGTCGAACTGTGAAGCTGGTTTATATCCCCTTAACTGTGCTAAGGGTCTCATTCATTTATTTTTTTAAAAACTGTTCATGGACAGTGTGGAGGAGTCATGTTTCTGTTTTGCACATTTCATGTTGCTACACTAAAGCATTTGCATGATTACTCATTCCTTGATATTTCTTAATCAACCTAGCAAAGTAACTAAAGCATTGTTAACATTGAATTGATGCTGATGAGATAGTAGTTTCCATTTGTCCCACACCCTCTAGACTGCCTGAACATGCTTTTTAGATTC